CTTCCATTCTGTTTGTGCTGCTGCAAATACATTGTGTATCTCCTGCTGCTGCTGCTGCTGCTAACTTGCTATTAGCCTGCTATTGCTGCTGCTAACGCTCTGCTGCTGCAGCTGCAGCTCGTCCTCCCCCGATTGTGCATGCTGTGGTTGTTGCTGCTGCGTTGGTGCTGCATCTGTTTGCTTTATTTGCTGCAGGAGACACGTAGAGACTTGCTGTCTCTTGCTGCACCCTTAGAGTTTGTCTGCGGGGTTAGAAAGAGAATGCCTGAGGAGACAGTACTACCCACTTGGCTCTCAGACCCCTTCGCGCGTCTCCGTGCGGTAAGAAAGACAAGCACAAAGTGTCTCCTTTTTGTCTCTTTATTCTTCTTTAAGTGTCTCCTTTGTATCTCTCTATTCTTCTTTAAGTCTCTCCTTCGTTTTATTCTTCTTTAGGTGTCTCCTTTTTATCTCTTTATTCTTCTTTAGGTGTCTCCTTCTTACCTTTTTATTCTTAAGTGTCTCCTTTATGTCCCTTTATCTTTCCTTTAAGTGTCTCCTTTTATCTCTTTATTCTTATTCAGGTGTCTCCTTTTTATGTTTTTTATTCTTCTTTAGGTGTCTCCTTTGTATCTCTTTATTCCTCTTTACGCCTGTCTCCTGGGTGTCTCCTTTATGTCTCTTTATTTTTCTTTAGGTGTCTCCTTTTAGTCTGTTTCTTTTCTGTCTGTTTCCGCTTCACTGTGTCTCCTATCTGTTTGCCTATTTTAGGGTTTAGGGTTTAGGGTTTAGGGTTTTTGTTTGTGGGGTTTGTTTTGCTGCTGCAGGCGAAGGCTGAAGTTGCTGCTCCTGCTGAAGCTGCTCGAAGTGTCTCCTCCTTTGGGGGTCATGGCAGCAGCCGTCTCCCCTTCTCTAACTGTCTCCTTTTAAACCGTACAGCTGGAGACCCCTTCCGCAGCAGAGCAAAGGGCAGCAGCAGGGCCCCCAGCAAACATGTTGATGCCTTTGAAGCAGCTGTCCCTGGAGGTCTCACAAGACTAAACAGGGAGCAGCAGCAGCAGCAGCAACAGCAGCAGCAGCAGCAGCAGTTGCAGCAGCAGCAACAGCAGCAGATGCAACAGGTGCAGCAGGGCGGGGAACAGCAAAAACTCTCGCCACAGACGCAGCAGCAGCAGCAGCAGGCGCAGCAGCTTCAACAGCAGCAACAACAGCAGCAGCAGCAACAACAGCAGCAGCAACAACAGCAACAACAACAGCAGCAACAACAACAGCACCAGCAGCAGCAGCCAACGGTAGCAAGCGTCCTGCAGCAGCAAGAAGCCCCAGCGATGCCGACGCCGCCCCCACCACCCCCACCACCCCCGCAACAGCAGCAGACGCAGCAGCAGCAGATACCGCAGCAGCAGATGCAGCAGCAACAGATGCAGCAGCAACAGATGCAGCAGCAGCAGATGCAGCAGCAACAGACTCCAACGCCTCCGCACGAGGAGACATCTGCTCTCTCGCGGGAGCCAGAGCAGCAGCAGCAGTCACTGCAGGCCCAAACCCAGCAGCAGCAGCAGCAGCAGCAGCCGGTGAAGCCTCATCCGCAGATCTTGCATTCGCAGCAGCACTTGCAGCAGCAGCAGCAGCAGCAGCAGCTTCTGCAGCAGCAGCAAGCAGCGCGGCTGCTGCACCAACCCCCCGCAGGCTTTATGCATGTCCCCATGCCTGCTGCTATCTTAGGCCCTCAGGGGTTGCTGCTGCACCCGGTGCCGGTAGTTGCTGCTCATCCATTCTTGCTGCAGCAGCAGCAGCAAGCGCTGCGCATGCAGCAGCACGCAGCGCATCCTATCATGGTGCCGCTGCAGCCCCAGCCCGTGCAGCAGCAGCTGCCGCAACAAACCATGCAGCAGCATCAGCCCGTGCAGAAGCAGCATGAGCCTCTGCAGCAGCAGCAAACTCCTCCGCAGCAGCAACCGATGCAGCAGCAACAGCCGGTGCCGCAGCAGCAACCTGTCCAGCAGCAGCAACTGATGCAGCAGCAGCAACCTCTGCAGCAGCATCAGCAGCAGCCTATGCAGCAGCAGCAGCCTATGCAGCAGCAACAGCAGCATCTGCAGCAACAGCAGCAGCCTATGCACCAGCAGCCTATGCAGCAGCAGCAGCCTATCCAGCAGCAGCAGCCTATGCAACAGCCTATGCAGCAGCAGCAGCCCATGCAGCAGCAGCAGCCTATGCAGCATCAACCTATGCAACACCAGCCTATGCAGCAGCAGCAGCATTTGCAGCAGCATCAGCATTTGCAGCAGCAGCAGCATATGCAGCAACAGCAGCAGCATATGCCGCAGCAGCAGCAGCACATGCAGCAGCAGCAGCAGCACATGCAGCAGCAGCAGCAGCAGCTGCAGGCAAATAGCGATTTGTCTGTCTGCCCCGGATGGGCGGAGTTTGTAGAAGACGGACGGAGAGAAGGCCTCGACGTTAACAAACTCATGGCAGTAAGCAGCAGCAGCAGCAGCAGCAGCAACTGCAGCAGCAGCAACTGCAGCAAGCAGCAGCAGCAGCAGCAGCAACTGCAGCAGCAGCAACTGCAGCAGTCGTAATAGTGGTAGTAATAGCTGTAGTAGTAGTAGTAGTAGCCGCAGCAGTAGCAGTAGTGGCAAGAGCAGCAGCAGCAGCAGCAGCAGTAATAAGAGTAGTAGTAATCGCAGCAGCAGCTGCTACTGTGAATGAAGCAGGTAGCTCTGCTGGAGTCAAGCAGAAGAAAGCATGAAGAAGACAGAGACAAAGACAAAGACAAAGACAAAGAGAGACAAAGAGAGACAAAGAGAGACAGAGGAGCAGACAAAGGGAGACAGAGACAGACAGCAACAGAGACAGATAGACAGATATAGAGAGACAGATATAGATAGAGAGATATATAGATAGAGAGATAGATAGATAGACAGATAGAGAGATAGATATATAGACAGATAGAGATACATAGACATATATGTATATAGGCAGATAGATAGATAGATAGATAGATAGATAGAGATAGAGAGACAGAAACAAACAAAAAGAGACAGAGGGAGAGAAAGACAGTGAGAGAGACGGAGACAGACAGAGAGACAAACAGAGAAAGAGACAAACAAACAGAGAGACAGAGTGTCTCCTCACGTTGCATTTGTTCGTTACTTTGCCTTGGTGTGCGTTGGCCTGCATGGAGTGTTGAGGGTCCCCAACTTGCAATTAGGGTTTAGGGTTTAGGGTTTAGGGTTTACGCTGTCTCCTGCGCTGTACAGACACCTGAGCAACTGAAGGACCCTCGCATTCGCCAGCGGTTTGTGCGTCTCCTTGATCGTCATGAAAAAGCAAAAGAATTATTTAGAATGGCTGGCGCTAAGCTCTAATACCCTGTTGTTGCTGCTGTTGCTGCTGCTGCTGCTGCCGCTGCTGCAGCTAGAGCAGTTGGAGCAGTAACAGTAGCAGCAGCAGCAGTTGCTGCAGCAGCAGCAGGAGCAGCAATAGCAACAGCAGCGCACATGAAGACACAGGGCAACCTCAGCATCATAAAAGCAGCAGCAACAAACTGCAGCAGCGCAGAGTACTGCTGAAACAGCAGCTGCAGCTGCTGCAGCTGGAGCAGCAACCGCAGTAGCAGTCATTTGCTGCTGCTGCTGCCGGCCTGAGAGGCCTAGAGGGAAGCGGGCTAGAGAGTGTGAACTGTCTCTTATGGCCCTGCTGCTACTGCTGCTGCTGCTGCGTGTCTCCTTTCGGTGCCCTGACCGGAAGGAGACAGCTGAAAGGAGACTCTGCAGCATTTGCCTCTCGGCAAACCTAAATGGCATTTGGCTCGCGTTTCTCTGCTTAGCTTGCTTTAGCCGCTGCTGCTGCTGTTGCTGCTGCTGCTGCTGCTGTTGATGCTGCTGCTGCTGCTTTGCTGCAGCAGCAGCAAAGAAGGTTGCTGCTGTCTTGCCGCTGGAGTCTAAAATGCAGGAGACAAGAGATAGAAGCAGTTACAAGCGCAGCAACAGTGGCAGGAGTTTACTCTCAGCAGCAGCAGCAGCAATATCAGCAGCAGAAGCAATACCAGCACCAGTAGCAGCAGCGCCAACAGTAGTAATAGTAGCAGCAGCAGCAGCATCAGTAATAGCAGCAGTATCAGCAGCAGCGACAGCTACACGAATTTAATTAAAAATGGTGTCAAGAGGTCTTCTGGGCCCAACTGGCCTGCAGAAAGTTGCAAGCCAAGTTTGCTGCTGCTGCTGCTGCAGCAGCAGCAGCAGCAGCAAACCGGTAAGTACGCACAAGGGCCTCAAACGAAAAACGATGAGCTTGGCGCTTTCTGCTGCGCAAACAGCTGCAGATAGTAGCAGCAAATGCTGCTGCTGCTGCTGCGCTGTAGATACAGTAGCTGCTGCGCTGCAGCAGGGTGTAAGCACATACAGATGCTGGGCTGCTGCTGCTGCTGCTGCTGCTGCTGCCACAGATGACGTACAAAAAATCTTATTCCGTCGCAGCGCTAACTGGTGCTGCAGTGGCGTTGATGCAGCCGCTGCTGTTGCTGCTGCTGCAGTTCCTGGCTTAGATGCTGCTGCATTAGGTGGGGGGAAACCGCTGCTAGAGCTGATGCTGCTGCTGCAGCAGCTGCTGCTCCTAGCCTACGGCTGTTGGGTGTGCAGCAGCAGCGCGTCCCTGTTGAAGTTATTGTAGATGGCTGGGTGTTGCTGCTGCTGTTCCTGGTGCTGCTGTTTCTGCTGCTGCTGTTCCTGCAGCTGCCGTTGATTGATTTGGTGTTTGTTGTTGGTCTGTTACCTGTTGCTGCTGCTGCTGCTGCTGCTGCTGCTGCTGCGCTTCGAGGTCAATGTGTGTCTGTTGCTGTTTATGTTTGTTTTTGTTGTTTGTTCTGTTACGTGCAGCAGCAAGCAGCAGCAGCAGAAGGATGTTTGCTGCTGCTAGAGCAACAACAACCAGCAGCATGGGGAGAAAACCGTGCTGCAGTGCATGCGCATGCATTGGTGCTGCAAGGAGCGAGACAAGGCCAGCAGCAGCAGCAGCAAGCCCCAACATCTTCCCTATGCTATTAGCAGGAAAGGCTTCAGCAGCATAGCAGTATAGCTGACTCATTAAGAAGGAGATATGCAGCACAAAGCAAACAGCAGCAGCAAACTGCAGCGGCACTGCAGCAGGAACACCCGGCAAGCAGCAGCAAATATATGCAGCAAGACCGCATGCATTTACAAGCCCCATCATTAGCAGCACCCCAACACTATCTGCAATCAAACCCCACAGGAGACAGGGGATGAAAGACAGTGGCTGCAGCAGCTGACTGAAGCTGTAAGCTGCTGGCAGCAGATGCCGAGCAGCAGACAAGAAAAAAACTGCATTTATGCAGCAGTAAACAAGTAGAGGCAAATAGCTGCAAGTACAAACATCCTCAGCAAACAAACGTAAGGCCACCCAAGCACGCTGTACTGCTGCTGCTGCTCCTGCTGCTGCTGGTGCTGCTGCTGGTGGTGCTGCTGGTGCTGCTGGGGCTGCTGTTAATGCTCCTACTCCTGCTGCTGCTGGTGGTGGAGCTGCTGTTGATGGTTGTACTGCTGCTGTTGGGTTTGCTGTTGGTGCTGCTGCTGCTGCTGCTGCTGCTGTTGCGGTGAGATCAGCGCTGTCTGCTGTCTCTGCCGTTTCGAATATGGGCTCATCTTCAAGAGCCTCCTTCTCCCGCTGCTGCTGCTGCTGCTGCTGCTGCTGCTGCTGCGGAAAGGGCTTAGGAGGGAGAACGAGAAGTGCGGTAAGGAGACAGAGAGGAAGTAAGAGACATGCATAAAGCAGCAGCACCTGCTGGCAGCTAAAAAGAGACTGCTGCAGCACCAGGGCTCTGAATACAAGAGGGACAGCAAACGCCAGCGAGCGGCAGCAACCCAGCAACGCAATCACACTGCTGCTGCTGCTGCTGCTGCTGCTGCTTTTGCTGCTGCTGCTAGGAAAGAGATTAGCAACAGATAGGCAAGGGAGAAATGAAGACTCCACACCAGCACCAATAAGAAAAGCAGCAAGAAGGAAGCAATTAAAGGAGACAGAAGAGACAGCAAGCAGCCCCCAGCCAGCAGCAGATGCTGCAACACCAGCAGCAGCAGCAAACCTGGGTCCCCATAGATCGAGCAGCAAACCCGCGGTAAAAGCAGAGACAAAATGAGAGCAGGAGACAACCCCCAGCAGCTTATTTACTGCTGCTTCCTGCTGTATACACTGCGGAAGAGACAGCGGTGCTGCAGCAGCACCTGCAGCAGCACCTGCAGCAGCAGCAGCAGCAGCAGCAGCAGCAGCTGTCTCCTTTATCTCCCCAGGAGAACACAGCCAAATATATGTCTCCTTGCTGTACAGCACATCTGCTATGGGGGCCCAATTAAAATACGCGGGGCCCGAAAGGAGACAGTAAACGCACAGCAGCAGCAGCAGCACAACACGAGGTAAAGGCAGCAAAGGAGACACTTGCTTCGCTCCTGAAGAGGAGACAACGCAACAACCCCTAGCCATCTCTACAAAGAGGCGTCAGCACTGCTGCTGCTGCTGCTGCTACTGCTGCTGCTGCTGCTGTTGCTGCTGCTGCTGCTGCTGTTGCTGCTGCTGCTGCTGCCGTTGCTGGTGTTGCTCCTGTATCTGTTGCTGCTGCTGCTGATGTAGCTCCTTCTTCTGCTTCTGCTATACTTTCTTCTGCTGCTGCTGTATCTGCCGTATCTCCCTGTGCTGCTGCTGTGCCTCTGGCTGCTGCTGTTGCGTCTCCTGTTGCTGCTGTTGTACCTCTTGGTGCTGCTGCTGCTGCATCTCCTTCTGTCGCCTTCTGCTGCTGCTGCTGCTGCCGGAGAAGAGAATAAGCAGCTGCTGCTGCTGCCCGTGTACAGACAGCTCGATGCTGGGAGGAGCTGTGGCTTATTGGAGCCAGCCTAGCAGCAAAAAAGGAGACACTTGCTGCTGTTGCTGCTTCTGCTTGCTGCTGCTGCTTGCTGCTGCTGCTGCTGCTGCTGCTGCTGCCCTGCTGCTCGCTGCTGTTACTTGTTGCTGCTGCTGCTTGCTGCTGCTGCGGCGCACCAGAGACAAGGAAAGAGAAGCAAAGCGTCCATGAAGTGAATAAAGAGACAAAACAAACGCAGAGGAGACAGAGAAGCAGAGACAGAGAAGGAGATATGCAAGAGGAGACAGACAGCGAAGGAGATATATAAAAGGAGACAGAGTAAGAAGGAGATATATAGAAGCAGACAGAGAGAGAAGGAGATAGACAAAAGGAGACAGAAAGGAGACAGAGAGAGAAGGAGACAAACGAAAGAGACAGAGAGGAAGAAGCAAAGAGAAGAGAAGGGGGTGCATGGAAGGAGACACAAAAAGAGGTAGAGACAGAGAAGGAGACACAAAGAAGGAGACAGTAAAAAGGAGACAGAAAGAAGAAGACACAAAGAAGGAGACACAGAGAAGAAGAAACAAAGAGAAGAGGAGACAAAGAGAAGAGACAAAGAGAAGAAGAGACAGAAGAGAGACAGAGAAGGAGACAAAGAGGAGGAGACAAAGAGAAGGAGAGACAGAAGGAGGGAGACAAAGAGAAGAAGAGGCAGAGAAGGAGACAGAGGGAGAGGAGACAGAGAGAAGAAGAGAGAGAGAGAAGGAGACAGAGAGAAGGAGACAGAGAGAAGGAGACAGAGAGGAGACAGAGAGGAGACAGAGAGAAGGAGACAGAGAGAGAAGAAGAGACAGAGAGAAGGAGACAGAGAGAAGGAGACAGAGAGAAGGAGACAAAGAGAAGAAGAGACAAAGAGAAGGAGACAGAGAGGAGGAGACAAAGAGAGACAGAGACGGAGACAGAGAGAAAAAGAGAGGGAGACGCGAAGGAAGAGAGACAGAGGAGGAGCTAAGAAGAAGAAGAAGAAGAAGAAGAAGAGACAGCAAAATAAACAAAGAGAAGGAGACAGAGAGAAGGAGACAAAAAAAGCAAAAGGAGACACTAAACAACTAACCAGTGCTGGTCTTGCTGCCGAGCAAAGTGAAGAAGTCTTGAAATATAAAAAAAATAAGAGAAGTGCAGCAAACAAAACAAAAGACATAAACAAATTATTAAAGATATAAACAGCAAATGTTATTGTCATGGAGATATACAGTGCAGTTAAAGGGCCCTTTAGCCGACTCGCTGCGCATACACCCGAGTACCGCCGCCAGAGCCAGCCAGAGGGCCCTTGCTGCTGCTGCTGCTGCTGCTGCTGATGCTGCTGCTGCTGCTGCTGATGCTGCTGGTGGTGCTGTTGGTGTATGTGGGGGATCTGCTGTGTCTTCGGGCTTCATTTTATGTTATATCTGTTGTTTTAGTTATAATAATTAACAGAGAGGAGACAAAGAAGCTGGACTACAGCTGCAACAAACGCAGCAGCAGCAAGAGGTGCCTGTACACCCCAGCGAACGAGGCCTCCATCAGTGCAGCAGAGTGCTGCTTCTTGCACTTATCTTTGCTTTCTGCTGTCTCCTCTTCGTCTCTAAAAGCTAATTAAGAGGGATTAGTCTCAAGACGCCCTCACCAATCCGCAGTAGGAGCAGCAGCAGCAGCAACAATAGTAGTAACGGCAACCGCTGCAGCAGCAGCAGCAGCTGCTGCTGCTGCAGCGGTTGCAGCGACAGCAGCAGTGTTAAGCGCAGAGATGCCCAATCCTCTGCCTTCTGGAGGGGTCTTTCGTGTTTGTTTGGGGTGGGGTTGTCTTAATCGTCCTTCTCTTCTCCCTAGCCTCCTCCCGGGGGGGCCCTCTGCTTCCTTTCTAGCGCTGCTACTGCAGCAGCAGCAGCAGCAGCAGCAGCAGCAGCTGCAGCAGCAGCAGGAGCGGAGTTCGAGGGGCCCCATTGAGTATCCTATTGACAATGAGTAAATCTGTGGGCCCCCTCAAGGGGCAGGAGCAGCTGCTGCTGGAGCCTATGGCTGCTGCTGCTGGTGCTGCTTCAGCAGCAGATGAGTCCTCCCGCTACCCGTCACCACCCCCACGCAACAGCAGCAGCAGCAGCAGTAGCAGCAGCAGCAGCAGCAGCAGCAGCAGTAGGGATGCTGCAGGGTTGCTTCCTGGTGTACGTGATGGTTTGTTAGGAGAGGTGTCTATGGGGGAGCCTGATAGAGCAGCAGCAGCAGGAGCAGAAGTGCTGCTGCGAGGCTATCTCTTCGGGCAGCTAGCGAATGTAACAAAGGCAGCACTTTGGTGGGCTTCGTTCGGGGTTTTATCTGTCTCCTTATGGGGGGGCCCTATGGGTGTAGGGGCTCTACGTCTAGCATTTAATGCAGCACTTGTTTGTGTGTCTCCTGCAGCAGCAGCAGCAGCAGAACGTTTCTCTGTGAAGCAGTTGCTGCTTGTGACAACTGGGGGGCGGTGTCTAGTATGGAGTTTGCTGCTTCCTGCTGCTTGGCTTGGGGTGTACATACACCTCGATCGTCCGCTGCTATTCTGGGGGCTTGCTGCAGCTCTTGTCTTCATTGACGGTGTATTTGTTTCTTTAGCTAATGTTGTAGATGCAGACTGCGGAGGCTTAGATGCTGTTGGGGCCCACGTAGGGGTGTCTCTAGGAGACAGACTCAGAGATAAACTCATGCAGATACACCGCCTAACTTTTGAAGTGTCGTTCGTCTGCTTCACTGCCCCTGTTGCGCTGCTGCTGCTGCTGCTGTGGACCCACTGCACCATCACCACCACCACCATCAGCTTCAGCTTCAGCAGCAGCAGCAGCAGCAGCAGTTTGCCTCCTTTCTTGCTGCAGCTAGCCCACCTCATACAGCAGTATACTCCGCATGCAGACTCTTCTCGTTTGGGGCTTGTCTTCTCTCAAGCGTTTGTTTTCGGTGTCTTGTCTGCTGTCTCTCTCGCCTTCTATGCATGCGGAATTCGCTCCAGTGTACCTGCTGCTCCCGAAGCAGCAGCAACAGCAGCAGGAGCAGCAGCAGCAGGAGGAGGGGCAGGGACCCAGCAGCAGCAGCATCAGCACCAGCAGCAGCAGCAGCAACAGCTGGGGAGGGCCTGCTTCGGGGGGGCAGGAGAAGGGGGCCCCCTGGGGGGATGGGGGGCCCCTGAAGGCTTAGGAGACAGTTTGTGCAGTGAAGACTCTCTAACAGATTATACAGGAGACAGCGGAGGGGGTGTGGGGCTAAGAGAAGAAGTGCTGCTGCGTCTGAGAGACATATACAGAGGTTTGCTGCTGGCTTTGAAAGAGAGACAGGTGGGGGCCCAGGTGCTGCTGCTAGCTGTTGATACAGCGCTGGAGGATTCAGTTGTCTCTGTGCTGCTGCCGCTGCTCTGTCTGTACACCCCAAGTTTGTTTGCTGCTGCGCCTACCGAGGCCCTTTCTGCTAATGCTTGGGCAGCGTCTCTTATTGCTGTGGGGAAGGCTGGGGGGTTTGCAGGGAGTGCATTAATGAGGTGTATGTGGAGACACCCTGCAGCAGCAAAGAGAGACAGCAGCTACAGAGTATTGTTCTTCTGTCTCCTCTTCGGGTCTCTAGCGCTGTGGCTGGTGCCGCTGGCGCTGTTGCTGCAGCAGCGAGGAGACACTTCAGACTCTGTCTGTTTGCTGCTGGTGTTTGTTGCTGCTTTCTTATTTTATGCATGCAGTGCAGCCCCAAAGACAGGTGCTGCATTGCTGCTGCAGGGCCTACTAAGCTCTCATCAGCAAGCCTATAGTCTCTTTGGCTTTGTTGGTGTATTTGTAACAGTTGTAGATGCAGCACTTATTCTTCTTGTTAATGTTGTTTTTGTTTTCTTGCTTCCTCAAGGCCCTGCTGTTGCTGTTGCTGCTGTCTGTCTCCTCTTCACAATCCACGGCCTCTTAGAGGCTACACTGGGGCCCCTCCTCGTTCTAGACCCTCCAGACACCCCAAATGAGGGTATGGAGGAGGGGGGCCCCCTACAAGGGGGCCCCCTACAGGGGGTAGGGGGCCCGGGCCCCCATCAAGACCAAGGGGGCCCCCTTGATCCGGGGGCCCCCTTCCACGGGGGCCCCCTTGATGGGGGCCCCCCTTCAAGCCACGCTATAGGGGGACAGTTTCATCATAATAATAACAACAACCCCACCTTCGGAAGAAACAAAAGAGAAAAACCTACACCAAGGCCTGTAAGCTCTCTGCTTCTTAGAGAAGGCTCTCTACCCTCTACAGCATGCCCCACTAACGGATGCAGCAGCAACTGATGCTGCTGCAGCAACAGCTGCAGAAGCAGCTGCAGCAGCAGCAACTGATGCTGCTGCAGAGGCAGCTGCTGCAGCAGCAGCAGGTGGTTATGACAGCAGCTGTGGGGCCGCCTTATTCGCTTTTTGTTTGTGTAGCAGCGGAGGGAGAGGCCTCAACTAAAAGGCCTGCAGCAGCCTGCTGGTGCAGCATCAGCAGCAAATCTGCTGCTGCAGCACCTGTCGATATTCACTGTTGCACCACCTGCAGCAATGTGCTGCTGCAGCAGCAGCATCAGCAGCTGCTGCTGCAGCATCAGCAGCAGCCAGCTGCTGCTGCAGCAAGCAGAGTCTAGAAGACATATGCTTGGTTGCGCTGGATTGGATACTCTCTTTTCTCGAGGGTTTAGGGTTTAGGGTTTAGGGTTTGGGGTTATGAATTCTTTTGCAGGGGCGTAGCCGGCGGTTGTAGGGTTCAGGCTTTAGTCTCTCTAGTGTTTAGGGTTTAGGGTTTAGGGTTTAGCTGCATCAGAGTTAAGAAACATAAGAGGATTAATTGCATTAGCAGCAACACCAGCAGCAGCAGCAGCAGCAGCAGCAGCAGCAGCTAAAAGGGCCACTGATGTCTCTAACTTTCCTGAGTAAGAGACGTAAAGCAATGAGAAGAAGAAGCAAAAGGAGACAGAAGAGGAGACAGTTTGTCTCTAAGGAGACAGAAGGAAAGGAGACAGATTCTGTTCACTGAGACAGACAGATAGAGACAGATTCTGTCTAAGGAGACAGAAAAAGAAACAAGTTATGACGAAGAAAAGGAGACAGCTTAAACAGGCATACGCATATATATATATGCATATATATATATATATATATTTTAAATATATAAGGGGACAGACAGACAAATGAAAGGAAAGGGACAGCTTCTCCCTTAAGAGACAAAAGAAAGAAAGAGTTAAGAGATTAAAAAGGAGACATTATTTCTAAGGAGACAGGCTCTGCCAAAGGAGACAGGCAAAGAGACAGGTGCTGTCTAAGGAGACAGAAGAAATAAACATACTCTCTACGAGGAGACAAACGAAGAAAAGGAGACAGCTACAGTTTATGTGCATGGAGAGACAAGAAAAGAAAGAGAGAGATTCTGTCTTGAGATTGAAAAGGAGACAGCATCTATCTCTTAAGGAGACAAAAGAAAGAGACAGAGTATATCTCTAAAGAGACAAAGGAAGCAGACATGTTATTCAGGAGGAGACGAAGGAGACACATATTGTTTAGGAGTCAGACAGAGACAAATTATATGTAGCCTCATAGACACAGGCAGATTTTTATGTATAAGGAGACAAACGAGACTATTATGTATAAGGAGACAGCATAGACAGATTAATATGTACAAGGAGACAGAGACAGATTATTATGCATAGGAAGACAGAAGAGACAGATTATTATGTATACGCAGACAGCAGAGACAGGCTATTATGTATAAGGAGACAGCAGAAACATATGATTAGGTATAAGGAGACAAAAGAGACAGACTTTTATGTGTAAGGGAGACTGCAGAGACAGATTATTATGCGTAGGAAGATAGAAGAGACAGATTGTTATGTATAAGCAGACAGCAGAGACAGATTATAATGTATGAGGAGACAGCAGAGACAGATTATTGTGAATGAGGAGACTGATACAGATTATTGTGCATAGGATGTTGTTGACAGGTTGTTACGTATAAGGAGACAGAGGAGACAGATTATTATGCATATGGAGACATATTATAATGTATAAGGAGGAAGAATAGACATATTATTATGTATTAGGAGACATATGATTATGGATAAGGAGACAAAAGAGACAGATTAATATGTACAAGGAGACAGCAAAGATAGACTATTATGTATGAGGAGACAAAAGAGACAGACTATTATGTATAAGGAGACGAGAGACAGGCTATTATGTATACGGAGACAAGAGAGACAGACTATTATATATAAGGACACAGAAGAGACATATGATTATGCACAGGGAGACAGAGAGACAGATTATTATGTGTAAGGAGACAGTTTATGTCTCCTAAGCCCTCATATCCCTCATTACTTTCTGGTTTTTAATTAAAGCGAACAGACTAACAAAACAGCAGCACGAAACCCGCTCTGCTGCACGCAGTTGCTGCTGCATCTTTAGACAAACTTCTTCTTTATAAACAAGCACAAATGAGGCCTTTAGGAGACAAGAAAAACAAACAACTCCTCTCTAAAGCAAAGAGGTGCAACAACATATATAAATAAATAATATTTATATTATACCCTTAGGAGACAATTCTGCTGCAGCGGGGTCAACACACTGCAGCAACACTGCCTCGTGTTGTTGCTGCTGCTGCCGCTGCAGTGCCTCTACTACAGAATTGCTGCAGCAAAGACTGTATTGCTGCTGCGAGTGACTGCATCCAATCCTTTTGCTGCACCTGCTGCCGCTCTTTCTGATGATGCTGCCCGTTCCTGCTGCTGGCACTTGTGTTGCTGTTGCTGCTGCTGCTGCTATCTGTGTTCTCGCTGCTACTGCTGCTCTTCGTGGTACTGCAGCTGCCCTTTGTGCTGTTGCTAGTGCTGCTCCGTGTGTTGCTGCTGCTACTGCCTTTCTCTTGCTGTTGCTGTTGCTGCTGCTGCTGCAGCGGACAGCACTAAGTGAAGCCGGAGCTACACATTAACTGGCTTTTACTGTTTTTAATTCTTCATTTTGGTTTTGTTTTCTCTCGACTTGTTCGTTAAATGCGGTGCTGAGGTGTATAGGCAGCTCCTTCGTTTGCTACGGTGGGTGACCATTGGTCCACAGCCCCAGAAGGAAGGCGTTATATTTGTTGCTCCTATTGCGATTATATATTACTCTTATTTATTTTTTGTCTTGATCTCTATAATATAATGTTATAAATCATTGAGTACTGCCTTGACGTACCTCTTTTTTGTGTGTATCTTCTGCTGCCGCCCGCCTGGGCGTGCAGTCGCTGCTGCTGCTGCTGCAGCTGCAACTGCTGCTGCAGCAGAACCCCACACATGTCTCTTCTCCTTGTCTTCTTTGTTTGCCTTCCTACCAACTGTCTCCCTTTCAAGGGCCTCCACTCGGTATGTCCCCCACAGCAACTCCTTTCCCTTAGCCAACTGCAGCAGCAACCGCAACAGCAACAACAGCAGCAGCAGTGAAACAGCAGCAGCAACAGCAGCAAGAGCTCCCTGAAGACCTCTGTTTTTCTCCTGTTCTAAGTGTGTCATAGATGATGCGCTACTCTCCAGGTGAACTCTTGCTGCGGGGGGCCCCCCAACCCATGGGGGCCCCGCAAGTTGGGGGGCCCCCCATTGGGGGGCCCCCCACCTGTGAGGCCCCCAGCCGGATATTTTCACTGTCTCCTTCAGAGTGTAATCTGTTTCAGAGGGAAGCAAAACGACAATGCGTTTTAAATTCTTTGGCGGGGGGCTCTCTACGTAAGGAGACAGGTGACCCTCGAGAAAAGGAGACAGTCCCCTTACAGCAGCGAGAAGAAGAGCAAGAAGAAGAAGAAAAACAAAGTGAAGAAAACGAAGAAAAAGAATATGGAGGGAGGCACAGCCGTTGGCAACAACTGCAGCAGCAGCAGCAGCAGCAGAAGCAGCAGCAGCAGCAGCAGCAGCAGCAGAAACAGCAGCTGAGGGAGTTGAGGATAGAACCTGCCCACCACTCAAGGCTGCAGCAACACCGCATGCAAGGGTTGAGTTCTACAAGCATAAGCGACATCAGCAGCAGCAGCAGCAGCAACAGCAGCAGTAAAAGTATTAGCAGCAGCTTCAACAACAGCAGCAGCAGCACCGTCCGAGCGCGTCAACAGAACCAGCATGAGGGAAGGCCACCAATGTCATTTGTAATACCTCAAACGCAACAGCAGCAGCAGCAGCAGAAACAGCAGCAGCAACAGCACACGCCGCAGCTGAGGGTGCAGCTGGCACATCATGAGCTGGTATCACACCAGCAGCAGCAGCAGCACAAGCAGCAACAACATGCACAAGGCCTTGTGCAAGGGGGGCCCCACGAGGGCCCCTCAGCTCTCTGCCGCAGCAGCTGTCTCCCTCTCGCTACCCCCGATATTCAAGACATCCACAGCATCAGCAGCAGCAGGAGCAGCAACCATAGCGACAGCAGCAGCATCAGCAGCAGCAGTAGCAAGTACCGTTGCAGCCGCAGAAGCCCAGGGGGGCCCTCCAGATGTCCCTTAGGGTTTGGAGGAGACATGCGTTTGGAGACTGTCTCTTCAACGCGAGGGAGACACAAAACATTTATTAAAGGAACCCGCCTTCGGGCTCACGGCCCCCAGAAAGGTGCAGTGGAGCGGGAGCAGCAGCAGCAAGAGCAGCAGCAGCAGCACCAAGAACAGCAGCAGCAGCAAGAGCAGCAGCAGCAGCAGCAGCAAGAACAGCAGCAGCGGCAAAAGCAGCAGCAGCAGCAGCAGCAAGAACCCGGTCACAAAGATAGCTGCGCAACCCCGCAGCTGCACGTCTTTGAGGTTGTCTCTGCACCACCGTCTCCTCAAGGAGACAGTTGTTTGCTAAGAGGATTGGGGGGCCCCTCTGTGGGGCCCTCCCGTTGGCGCGCATACACCGCAGCGCCAGCAGCTGTGGGGCCCCTGCCTCCTTCTCGAAATGGTGTCTCCTTTTCTGGGGGCCCCCCAGATGTCTCTGCAGATGGGATATTAGGGCTGAAGGGGCCCCCATGGCGCAGCAGCGGTGCTGCAGATAAGAGACAGCAGCAGCAACAGGAGGAGACAGCAGCAGCTATGGGGCCCTCCAAACTGCCAGCCACCGTCCGCTGCTCCCTCTTCTTAGGGAGCGGTACCCTTGCTGCTGCTGTTGCTGCATCGGGGGCCCCTTGTGTGCTGCAGGTTTACCAGAGGCCCCTCACCCCTGGAGGAGGGGCCCCTGCTGCTTCTGTGGAGGCCTTTCTGTCTCTTAAGGTGTCTCTCCTCTGTCTCTTCTTAGCAATCCGAACAGCAAATACAAACTCAGAGACTTACAGCAGAAGCCACTCCCTATATACAGCCCAGGAGACACTCCTAGAACCAACAGGAGCTGGCAGCCGCGGGCTAGGGTTTAGGGTTTAGGGTTTAGGGTTTAGGGTTTTTGAGGTGTATTTACAGCGCCAAATGGACGCTAACATTTTTCTTGAGGGTTTCACGTCAGCCACCTGGACAATTCTCCTGCCCACCAATATGCCGCATGCAGAAAGAGAGTAAACCGTAAACCCTAAACCCTAAACCCCAAACCCTAAACCCTATACCTTCGATTCTAGGGCACGGAGATGAAGCCAGGAGGAGGGCAGTTTAGGGTTTAGGGTTTAGGCTTTAAGATAAGACGTCAGAAGGGTTAATGTGGGCCCTTGGATCCTGTTGTTAAGAGCTGCCTCCCTCATGCCGCCACAGCTAGCTAGCTGTTGCTGTGATGCCCCTTAGACTGCTACAGGAGGCCCTTACAACGGGAGCACACGAGGAGACTTTTAAAGAAGGGGAGCCTCAACGAGACAGTTTAGACTCAAGTGTCTCCTTGCGGTTCTTGCCAGCCAGAGAGTTCACACCATCTCGAGGTCCGAACTCCCTAGGGTTTAGGGTTTAGGGTTTAGGGTTTAGGGATCAAGGGCTGACGTTAGCCACCAAGAGGGGACGCTACGCCGCATAACGATGCCAGCATGCTACCATGCGTAGCATAAGATTTAGAACTAGGGTTTAGGGCAAGCATATTGGATTAAGGTTAGGGTTTAGGGTTTAGGGTTTACGGTTTGCGCCTTCAGGGACCCACTGGCTGCGTAGCATTATGTCTCGCTTGACCTCCAGCAGCTGCAGCGGCACCAGCCAATCGGTGCGATCTCTTTTAAGGTTTAGGGCCTACGCTGTGAACACAAAACCCTAAACCCTAAACCCTAAACCCTAAACCTTAGGGGCGGAGGGACGTTTGTTCTGCGGGTGCCTCTGTCTTCAGCTCTATGGACTTTCTGGGCCGGCTTTGAGGTCTGCCGAACAGCACCATCGAGGGTTTGGGGTTTACAGCATTTAAACAGCGGTTAAGAGTTAGGGTTTAGGGTTTAGGGTTTGGAGGAGGCTTCTCTGCTCACTCCCTCAGCAGCTCCAGCTTTTCTCCTAAACTTAGAGAGAGAGGCATCAGTGGCTGTTTGTTTTGTTTGCTGCCTGCAGCGCAACGGGGGCACTCTTGCTTCACCTCCACGTAAACCCTAAACCCTAAACCCTATTTCAGAAACACTAAACCCTAAACCCTAAACCCCAAACCCAAGATTCCAACAGAGGTTGCCTTTGGCGGTGTGTGAACAGAGAGAGGCCCCCCACATCCTCCAAGACCTTTCTGAGGTCTCGGAGACCCTGCTAGGAGCTGTGAGTAACCATTTAGGGTTTAGGGTTTAGGGCTTAGGGTTTGGGGTTCTCCAGGCAGGGTGCAACGGTAGTGTTCGAACAGGCGGGGTACGGTTAAGGGTTAAGGGTTTAGGTTTAAGGGTTTGGAGTTTAGGGTTTATGAGGCAGGGTGCAGCTGCTGTGTCCGAGCAAAAGGGCTGCGGTTAGTGTTTAGGGTTTAGGGTTTAGGGTTTAGGGTTTGTGTTTGGGGACGCCACAGCACCTCAGCATAGACGAAATCACCCTACGGGACCTCGGAATATGGGGGTAAGGGGGGGGGCCCTCGGGGGCCCCCGCAGATTGTCAAAACCCTGAGGCTGCGCTAGGGTTTAGGGTTTAGGGTTTATGGGGCAGTGCATAGGGCTTGGAGCTAACATGGAAATATTTGTTTGGCCCTAAGTGCAGCGCTTCGTATTCTAAACCCTAAACCCTAAACCCTAATGCTATTGCCGCCACAGCAAGCCTCTTCCAGGCCAGGCTTGCACTGGGTGACGGCCTAGGATGGATACGGGCTGTTGGAGTTTAGAGGTTTGAGGGTTTAGGGTTTTGGGTTTTGGGTTTGTGTGTGCAACATAGACGTCCCGTTGCCCCCCAAAAGAATGAGCCTCGCAGCTCAGGTGGGCAGCCGAGAAACCCTAAACCCTAAACCGTAAACCCTAGAAAGGATAGTAAGCGCTATAGGTTATCTTGCCCAGCAGAGCTGTTCTAGTAGAACTGTCCCTTAAGGTCCAGTGTCTTTAGAGCGTCCTCTAGGGTTTAGGGTTTAGGGTTAGGGTTTAGGGTTTAGGGTTTAGAGTGGTGTGCGTCGCTGCTGCTGCACTTCAGAGAAACGCCCAGTTTGGCTCGCCGACGAGTGGTGTTCCCTGACTCGTAAGGCAGCAGGGTTTAGGGTTTAGAGTTTAGGGTTTAGGGTTTAGGGTTTAGAGTTTAGAGCCCCGTTTGTTCAGTGAGGCTGCTGCGATGCAGAAACAACGATGGGCCGCAGAACCCTCCTTTCCTGGATCCTCTCGGTATTGCTGCTGCTGCTGCTGCTGCTGCTGCTGCTGGTGTAGTTGCCTCTTTATTTGCTGCTGAAGCTAACTTTGCTGCAGATGCTGCTGGCGCCTTTGGGTTCCCATCCTCACAGTGTCCCTGCCTAGCATTCAGTGCTTTGGGTTTAGGGTTTAGGGTTTAGGGTTTAAGGGCTGCTTATTTGGCGTTGCTGGTGTTGCACCTCAGCCAACAACAGACCAGAACATTATCCAGGCAAGGCGCCAAGGCGCTAGACTCTAAACCCTAAACCCTAAACCCTAAACCCCTGCGTATTCTCAAGGGGTTGTGCTTTCTAGCGAGTTTATCTCAATTATAACCCCTAAACCCTAAACCCTAAACCCTAAACCCTAAACCCTATGAAATCTTGACCGCTGTTGCAGGCGCGACAGCAAGCTGTTACGATTTGTTTGGCCCACTTGCCCGCCCTTACCTGCGGTAAGGGTTTAGGGATTAGGGTAAAGGTTTTAGGTTTTAGGGTTTAGGTTTTAGGGTTTAGGGCTGTAGGGTTTAGGGTTATTGCCGATGCCCTTTGTTCAGACAACTTCACGAAAAGTCTGAAGGCTGCCAAGGCAAGTCAAAAAACCGTAAACCCTAAACCCTATACCCTAAACCCTAATAAAACCTACACAGCATGCAAACCCTAAACCCTGCCTATACACCCCAGCATCATAAACCCTAAACCACTACCCATGCAATATACGGCTGTTTGTGCTGCAGGAGATTTGGCGTGCGATCTCTTCCTTGCGGCAGCACGCCCCCCTCACCTGGCTCCATGCGAAGCAGCTTCTTAGTTTCTGTAACCTAAACCCTAAACCCTAAACCCTAAACTCTGAACCCTAAACCCTAAACCCTAAACCCTAAGCCATGAGCCACATCTTTCTCCCCGGCGCGAGAAACAGGTGGGATGGCATCTTGCCCGATATATACTGGCTGCTAGGGTTAGGGGTGCATGGCGTAGGCCTAGGAATAAGAGTTTAGGGTTTAGGGTTTAGGGTTTAGGGTTTGTGGAGCAGCCGCAGCCTTTGATGGTCTTTGTTCACTGCTGAGGGATCGTCCACAGCTCGGAGCCATCCCAGCAGTTCGTCATATCTTCGAGTTGCAAGGGCATGTCAGCGAGGGTAAGGAATCCTCTTTCGCCCCAAACCCTAAACCCTAAACCCTAAACCCTAAATCCTAAACCCTAAACCCTAACCCCTGACGCCGAATGCTAATTTTAACCCCCAGCAAGTAAACCAGTAGTTGCAGCAATAAACCTTGAACCGCACAGCTACTGCGACGGGCAAGCTATTGAGCTTTCGGGCGAGCCATTCAGTGCATAGGGTTTAGGGTTTAGGGTTTAGGGACTAGGGTTTAGGGCGCTTTATGTGTGTACAGTTGGGAGAGTGCTGGCGAGTCGTCTAGACCTCGATAAATGTAAAGAACAAGCCGAGTCCGTTTGTAGAGTTTAGGGTTTGTGGTTTAGTGTTCCTACTAGCCCTGGGAAATCAGGGTTTAGGGTTTAGGGTTTAGGGTTTAGGGCTACTGGCATAGCTTCTGTGACTCATGCCAGCCTACGCTATTTTCCTCAGGCTGGTCTTTCTTTCCACAGCAGAAGAAGAAGAGCTGAAGGTAACACTTGGCTAAACCCTAAACCCTAAACCCTAAACCCTTAGACTCAAACACCAACTCGGAGCTTCAAACCCTCAGCTCTAGCGCTGGGCGTCTCAAGGCACCTAACGCCGGCCGTTACGGGAAAGCTTGCCGCCGGCGCCACTTAAATTCTATGGTTTAGGGTTTAGGGTTTAGGGTTTAGGGTTGGGGTGCCACAGGATATGTGCGAATACGTGGGCAGCACGGAGTTTCTCAAGGCGGCACACCAGCGCGTTTTAGAGGCACGCTAAACCCTAAACCCTAAACCCTAAACCTTGCATCTAAAGCCCCAGCGCGTCGGTGTAGGAGGCACCTGAGAAACGTTTGCGTGTTGAGGGTTTAGGGTTTAGGGTTTTGCTCACGTTGGGGTTTCAGGAGTTCGAGACAAAAAAGGAAGAGATGAACTACGCCGTCCCTGCCAACTCTTCCTTCATTGCATCCTATTACCTCGGCAAGGATCTCTATCCCTAGGGTTTAGGGTTTAGGGTTTAGGGTTTAGGCTTTATGGTTTGGGGTTGGAGTACTATGCTGGTGGCTTGGCTGTGTTGCAGGCTTGCTGCTGTACATACACCGCAGCGTGCCGCAAGCGGAAGAGAGAATTCCTCCTTCTGATGCTTTTCACTATGCCTTCATTGACGGGGACTACGTGGGATAGCTAAACCCTAAACCCTCATTTAAACCCCCAACCCCCAAACCTCAAACCCTAAACCCTAAACCCTAAACCCTAAACCCTAAACCCTGAACCCTAATCCCTGTTCTTCGCCGTGGTGTTTTGCTTTCCCTCTTCAGGCCGTTTTCCAAAATTCGAGGGACAGCTTCTTCAGTTGGAGCGGTGCTTCATTAACCTTTAGCATAAACTTTTAATGTTTAGGGTTTAGGGTTTAGGGTTTAGGATGAATGGTTGGCTTATCTAGCAGTGCCGCTTTCTGCACCGGGAGAACAAACTGCTGTACCGAAGCGACGCTCCTTTAGCTCCTCGTGGTTCCTCTTCTAAACCCTAAACCCTAAACCCTAAACCCTAGGTTTGCGCGCAGACTTGGAAAACCCTCATCGTTCGCTGCACTGGTATCGCTGGAATGCGGCCAGAGCCCTCTCTAGGGAGGTGTTACAGCATCTGCACCACTTCACCCCTGCCCGTAAACCCTAAACCCTAAACCCTAAGCGCGAAACACCGAGAAGATTGCCCAAAAGGAGGCGCTTCAGTTGCGTCTTAGTGGGCGCTGCATCTAACATTGTTGTCTCTAGCGCTGCTACTGGGGTGCAGCAGCAGCAGCAGCCCCTGGTGCTGCTTCTCATGCTGCTGCTGCTGCTGCTGTTGCTGTTGTTGCTGCTGCTACTGAACAGAAGCTGCAATAGGAGAGCTGGATGCGCTGCTCGCCCTCGCACGTTTGGCGGTAAGGCTGAAAACGTCCGCCGTCAAAGAGCATTTGATTGAGGGTTTAGGGTTTAGGGTTTAGGCGTTAGGGTTTAGGGTTTAGGGTTTCTGGGTGTGATGCTGCAGGAAGACCCCTCGTGGAGTATCCCAGTGTTTACTGGGGGGCCCCTCATCCAACTTCGCCGATGTCAAATGGCTACGAGCGGCTCTGAAGGGTTTATGCCTTTTTCTTTCAGACTTCTACACAGACAAGTGACGCATTAAACCCTAAACCCTAAACCCTAAACCCTAATTGTTTCCCCCGTTGACGTAGTTCTCAACCGCAGTGCTCCATTTCAACCCCTGGCCTCAGCCCTTCATTGCAAAGAGCTTATATAAAAGGGAACTCAGGC